TATTTTAAGGTGTCCTTGTTACACGTTACATGTACTTACTATTATAATAACAATAAATTATGCATAATTATATGCAAGTAACCCTAAGCCAAACCCTAACCGTAACCATATAGTACATGGTTAATTAATATTCCTCAGTACTTAAATGTATAATTACACTGTAACAAGGACACCTTAAAATAAAGTGTAACCAAAAAATGTACTGACACCAAACTTTTGAATGATAGTGTATTTTGTTTAAAAAATACTTCTTTTTTGAATAAATGCTATTCTTTTTATTCGTCAAAGAATCCTGAAAAATGTATCACAGGCTACAAAAAAAATAAATAAATAAAATGAAGCGGCACAAAACTGTTTCTGACACTGATAATAAATCAGCATATTAGAATGATTTCTGAAGATCATGTGACACTGAAGACTGGAGTAATGATGCTGAAAATTCAGCTTGACATCACCGGAATAAATGATGTTTAAAACTATATTAAAATAGAAAACCATTATATTAAAGTGCAATTGAACAGCAGTGTAAATTGTGTGACACAAATATTAATTATACACAAATATACACATTTTGTTTTATATTTTGTATATATGTTTCAAATGCCTGAATATCAAATCTGAATATATGGTTCCCTATCGATACTTCACTCGTACTGCGTCTTGCTTAAGACGCTAAGGGGAAAACTCCTTTTTCTCCGAATACTGAAGCCTTTTTCAATCATGCAGTGAAACTGCACGGCCATTGGTTCGTGCGGTGTATTAAAATCAAACCAATGGCTTGGCAGCGGAGCTGCACGAGCCTATGGCGGCACAGCCCGCCAGAGCCCGCCAATTTGGGCGGGGCATCTGGCTATATAAGCGTGCACTTCGCCATAGGATCCTCAGATTTCTTCTCCTTCAGCGACGACTACAGATCTTCGCACTACGAGACTAAGAAGCCTTCGCCGTGAACAAGCCTCGCAGCAGATCAAGACCCTTCTCTGCTCGGCTGACTTCACCGCTTTTCAGCTGCCCTCGGCGTCTGCAGCAGCGTGGTCTCCCGGTCCCCTGCCGCTATTTGGCGACTATAAGAGCAAATTTCTAGAGCAAATTTCCGGCATTGTTACAAATGCCGCGCCACTACTGTCGCTCGTGCAGGGCTCCCCTGCACACCACTGACGGTCACGGCCAGTGCGTTTAATGCTTGGGTGCTGCCCACGCTGAAGCTGCACTTAATGAGACAGAATGTCCCCATTGCTACCTCCTCTTCGTCTGCCCTCACTACGGTCGACGGCGCCGAAGAAAAGGGGTATGACAAACTGCCTCCCCTGGATGAGTCAGTGGCCGCGCATCTCTGCCCGCCCACGGCCATCGGCTGGAAGGCAAAGGTCGCCCACCCATCCAAGCCGTGCAGGACTACTTCAGGACCTACTTGTCTGCTGGACAAGCGGCCTCGGCGCTTCACTCCATGGCAGTCCTCCAGGTCCTTCAGGCCAAACTTCTCCAGAAAATGGACGAGTCTGGACCGGACCCCGCGGCTTGCAAAGAGCTACGCAGTGTGACCGACCTGGGTTTACGCGCCACAAAGATGACAGCTCAGGCGATCGGTAGATCCATGGCCAGCCTTGTGGTGCTTGAGCGCCACCTATGGTTGACCCTCACAGAGATCAAGGACGCGGATAAAGTCCCCTTCCTCGACTCTCCGGTCTCCCCTGGCCTGTTTGGACCTGCTGTCGAAGGGTTCGCAGAGCACTTCACCGCTGCACAGAAGTCGTCCCAGGCAATGCGACACTTCTTGCCAAAACGCTCCAGCTCTGCGGTTGCCGCCAGTCGCCCCAAGACGGCGCCGACTCAGTAGCCCGCGAAGCCCACCTCATCAGCTGCACCGCTGGTCTCTAAGCCTGAGCCCCGGCATCGCTCCCGCTCGGCTAGACGCTACCCATTCCCTAAGAGCCAAGGACCCCGGCCCAAGGTAGTGCTGGACCCGGCGCCTCCGGCGTCAACCTGATCTGTGGGACAGGAAGAGGAGGGGGCAAAGTCTCGCTATCTCCGGACCACCCCCCAAGCAGACTCTTTTGTGCCTCCAAGCGCCCCGTTCACTTGGCATTGTGTTTGTGGTAAATACTGTTGTGAACCCCGGGCCCGTTCAATTAGCGCCCGCACAACTTACCGCTGTTATAGCGAGAAAATAAAACACAAACATTTTCAAAAAGAGAGCAAATTTCCTCTTCCGCATTTCACGAGCGTTGGGTCCCCGCATGACGGCCTGTCGCTCGAACCAACCCAACCCCTTGCCATGCGGGCCGAGGCCTGGCGATCTCAGACACCTGAACTGCGCCCTCATGAGATGGCCATTCAGGATGATTACATAGAAGCAGATCCTCTCGCAAGTGTGCCCAGGGGACTGGCTCTTTTCGCTGGATCTGAAAGATGCCTACTTTCACATCCAGATAGGTGTGATAGGTGTGTCACCTGTGATAGAACCACAGGTGGTTCTTGAGATTCGCCTTCGAGGGAGTGGCATATCAGTACACGGTCCTTCCCTTCGGACTGTCCCTAGCTCCTCGCACTTTTACGAAGTGCATGGATCCCGCTGAGACAGATGGGAATACGCATCCTGAATTATCTCAACGACTGGCTCATCCTCGCCCAGTCAGAGAACGAGCTAGTATCCCACAGATCCTTACTCCTCAGCCACTTACAGCGCCTGGGACTCAGGGTCAACTTTGCCAAGAGCGTGCTGTCTCCCAGCCAACGGATATCGTTCCTGGGAACAGTTCTCGACTCAGCCCGAATGAGGGCGGTAGTCGCGCCAGATCGTGCACTGGCTATTCGGCAGCTCGCGGCCTCATTCGAAATTGGAGCCCTTCACACTCTCAAGGCGTTTCAGAGGATGTTGGGCCTCATGGCCTCTGCGTTTCCAGTACTTCAGCTGGGCCTGCTTTGCACCCCTTCAGTACTGGCTGAAACCACGAGTTCTGTCCCATGCCTGACGCCATGGACGCATGCGTGTCAAGGTGAGCCAAGCCTGCGTAGCAGCCCTGGCCCCTTGGAAAGACTCTCAGTGGATGGATCGGGGCATGCCCCTGGGTATGGTCTGCAGAAGGAAGGTAGTCTCGACAGACGCTTCCAACACGGGTTGGGGAACTCTGTGCGATGGCAAATGTTGGCAGTATGTTTGGGACTTCGCACCTTCCTGCCAGACCTAAGGGGACACCACGTGCTAGTCCGCTCAGACAGCATGACAGTGGTGTCATATATAAATCGCCAGGGCGGTCTCTCCTCGAAGCGCCTCTTCATTCTGGTAGAGCTCCTTCTGGAATGGGCTCAGCTACACTTGCGTTCGCTAAGAGCAGCACATGTGCCGGGCAGGTTGAACCAGGGAGCGGACATGCTATGCCGGAGCAACAGGTAATCAGGCGAATCAAGGAGCGGAAACACAGGGTTCTGTTGGTGGCCCCACTCTGGAGGACCCAACACTGGTTCGCAGAGCTGTCTCAGCTGCTTATAGCAGCCCCGTGGCCCATTCCCCTGAGACGAGACCTCCTCTCTCAGGCAAACAGAACGATATGGCATCCCCAGCCCGAACTGTGGGCCCTGCACCTCTGGCCTCTCAACGGGAGCCTGCGGACCTCCCCGAGAGCGTGCTAAACACGTTATCTCAGGCTAGAGCACTAGTTCTGATATTGTCCTTCCTGCAGGAGCTGTTGGATAAGGGTCGTTCCCCTTCCACGGTGAAGGTCTATGTAGCAGCCATAGCAGCTTCACATGCTCCTATAGCTGGCTAGTCAGTGGGCAGGAACAACCTTGTTGTTCGATTTTTGAAAGGGTCTAGGAGGCTCAACCCGCCTCGCCCTGTCACCGTCCCTACATGGGACCTGCCTACGGTGTTGGGGGCTCTGAAGAGCCCTCCCTTTGAGCCACTACAGTCTGTTGACCTTCGTCCCCTGATGCTAAAAACCGCTCTGCTACTGGCGTTAGCATCGGTAAAGCATATGGGTGATCTGCGGGCACTCTCGGTGAGCCCTACCTGCCTTGAATTCGGGCCCAACGACTCAAGGGTCATCCTGAAGCCGAGGCATGGTTATGTACCTAAAGTGCTCTCGACTCCGTTCAGAGCACAGGTCTTAGCTCTGTCGGCACTTCCTCCTTCGGAGCAGGACCAAGAGCTAAATCTACTCTGCCCCGGCAGGGCATTGAGGATATACATTGAGCGTTCCGCCCCGTTCATATGGTCGAATCAGCTTTTTGTATGCTTCGGTGACCGCACCAGAGGGTCTCCGATCACAAAAGCAGAGACTTTCCAAATGGATTATTGACGCTTACTCTAGCAAACCAGTGCTAAATCAGGCATTTGCCTTCTCGGTATGCTCTTGGCCCCCACTGGGTTCCAAGGCTGTATGATTTTTCGGGGAACGATTACTTAGCGCCGGGCCGACCTCTCTGAGTTTGGCCCTATCACTTCCTGTGGGGCTTCCCTACAATTACTTGGTCCCTCTGGGCCCTTGGTGCTCAAGGCAAGTTTAAGCATTGGTCGTTCCTCTAACATAGCACGGTGGGATTGTACTGGTTCCCCTTAGTGTCTTAAGCAAGATGCAGTACTAGTGATGTATCGATAAGGAACGTACTCGGTTACTAATGTAACCTGAGATACGGGAACGAGTACTGCGTTGCTGGCCGTGCTATGTAGCTGCACGACTCGGTCGTCGCTTCAGTCGAAGCTACCTGAGGATCCTATGGCGAAGTGCACGCTTATATAGCCAGATGCCCCGCCCAAATTGGCGGGCTCTGGCGTGCTGTGCCGCCATTGGTTCGTTTTTAATACACTGCACGAACCAATGGCCGTGATTGAAATAGGCTTCAGTATTCGGAGAAAAAGGAGTTTTCCCCTTAGCGTCTTAAGCAAGACGCAGTACTCGTTCCCCTATCTCAGGGAACCGAGGTTACGTTAGTAACCGAGTACGTTTTTTATTATGTAAATATGAAATTACGATCCGGGATTTTATTGCTAGACAAATTCTTTTAATTTCCATATTGAATAACATATTAATTTAAACAGAACATATGCTTTATGCAGTAAATTAAGTTTGGTGCTTTTGTACTAAAAGAGGGTCAGCCGTCCAAATCAAAGAGTCTCATTCCTCTTCTTTACAGACAGTGGGCAGGTCAGATAGAGAGAGAGAGGGAAATCATTAGCAATGTATCAGCAAGTGATGATTTCAATGAAACGTTAGTGGTGGGATGTGACAGGTGCAAACACACGGACCTTCAGGGCATGTTCATTTAGACATGATTGTGTGCCCACCAAATAACAGTAGAAGTACGATCGTGATTATAATCATCACTCATCAATAGGTTGATGCCTTCACCTGTTTTCTGTGCTGTTCTGGATTTCATTTCACATTTCACAACACTACACGCCACAAACATTAAGCACCTTTGCCCTTTGGCTTCCATATTTAGTACGTCCCTTTTGTGCTGTGATGACAGCAGCATTCATGCTGGCATAGACGAAACCTGATGATCATATTACAGCACGATCTGATAATGTTCGAGTGGATGAAACGATCCTTATAAGTTCACATGGTCAGAGCCACAGATTTGATTATTGACCAGAATCATAAATATTGAGCGAGGAGAACATTTATAGCTATTATATTGTGTGTTTTAGCATGGCTGAGGAACTGTATTAACTATTGTAAATAAATGAATGAATGAATAAATAAATACATCTTCAGTATTAAATATATTTTAATATAGTGCACCATTCATTTAGTCATTACTTTTGGTCTCATTTTCCATGCCATTTGCCATTTCCAAGATCATGCCGTAATCACCTTCTCTTTCTTTTTTACTTTCTAGGAATGATGCTAATAAAAACATTGATTTGCTGCCGGCGGTCTGAACTGCTGTATATTGTGGAGAGCAAAAGGTACCGCTAAACTTTGAAACACTGTAATTCATTTTTTTGGTCTTTATGATGTGCTTTATGTTATCTGTAGAAAAAAACCTAATCAGAAATTTGATGCTTTCTAATGACTTGACTAAATTGTACAATGTCATATTGTTATTTATTTATTGATTTATTTTGTGGACAGTACATTGCTATGACTGCCAGAAATACTCTATTATAACTAGTCTGACTGATTGCCGTTTTCTTAGCTGTGTTCTCACCTGATGAAACCACACGCTACGATCAACACTCATCACAGCCTCTACAGTAACATCTGGAGTTTAATGGTGTTTTTGTTTGTCTTTTTTGCAATAATAACTACCTTCTAAGACAAAAATGTCCCGCTTATATTTTTCCTATAATATTGCACATGTACTTCATATTAGTTTAGCAAATGTTTTTGACTTATTCACCATTTAGCTACTGATTGTCTTGTGCTGGCTTATTGCAAATATCTTTAATTATTATAAGATTATATTATAAGATTAAGTATTAAACATTTATTAATTGCAACAGGCCAAAAAATACAGTAAAGGAGGTTCAAATTAAAAAGATAATTTGAATTAAAAATCAACTTAAATATAATATATAATTTAAAATAATTATTTTATACCTTATAAATTATTTTGTGAATTTATGCAATGCTATTGGTTTGCAATAACTGCTTTAATCTAGTCTTTTTGTATATTTTTATGCATGTTTCAGCACGAGGCAACACTATATTGTCATACAGAGGATTGTATATATTTATACACTGATGAGAATAATCAACAATTCAACAATGTTTCCATACAGTTCTGGAAAAAAATCTTGTGTGCCCCATGAACATAATTTGTCAACAACATAATTTTGTCAACATTTTAGTGCATAAACTCTTGAGGTCACGGATGTAAAAAGTAAATGCAAACTCATAATTATTAACTAGTTCAATGACCTAAACCGCTTCAGTCTGTCTGTATAATGAGGATTTTACTGAAGCTGGTAATTTACTCACGTGATTTGGATCATAGTCACATGACCCAAATTCTACGGATGCCCAGGCCAAGAGGGTCATAATAACTGCGAAATAATGATTAGAAATAATTTTGTATCACTTAAACTTTAACAAATCTTCTCTAAAGTCATCTGAAATCTCTTTTCATGCGTTGGAACAGAATTACATTATTTTGAGCAGGTGATCAAAAATTATATCAAAATCGTAACTGCTTTGAACTCTTTATCAAAGGCTTTTTATCAAGAAAGTAATATTTTGACTTCTCCCAATGACCTTGATTGTTTGGTTATAAAATTTTAGAATTTATATTATAAAATATATAGAATTTAGATTTGGTTATAAAACTGTAGAATTTATATAAAAAGTGTGTAAAAACTAAATATCTAAGTCAGACTTCTATTTATTATGTATTATGACTGAGCTGATAATCGGATTACATGTGATCTCTTATAATTCATTAACATCTCAGTCAGCAAAGATTAGATGAGTTGATCGAAGCCTAGGAACAAACGGAATTATTATTATTATTAATTATTATTTTTATTCTGTTGTGACAGTTGTACCAAAAACTGTATTTCCATTTGTAAACATTTCTAGAATATTTGTATATTTTGAAGAGTAATATAGATGAAGCATTAGGTTTAATGGTGTTTAATGTACTGAATTAGCAATGAACTGAAATCCACTGAAATCCACTGTAGCCCTACATTTGATAAAGACAAACTGAGTTCCAACCTTCCAAAAGATTGGTGTGTGTTTATTTAATGGGCATTTTCTGCCCTGTGGATACTTTTAAAAATAAATACTCTTTAAACACGCGTTTCAAGTTTGCATAACTTCATTTGTCCATTATCAATTTCTCCTGTGATATTTTTATAAATACTACAAAATGTTTAGATTAAATCTCTCTGTGTGTGTGTGTGTGTGTGTGTCTGTATATATAAATACATACATATATATATATATATATATATATATATATATATATATATATATATATATATATATATATATATATATATATATATATATATATATATATATATATATATATATATATATATATATATATATATATATATATATATAGTGTATGTGTGTGTGTGGAAAATAAATATACTAAAATGTATTTGAAATACATTTATTTAATGCTAAGCATACTACAAATACATTATGTACTTAATAAAAATACACTGCATTTGTACTGTTGGTATACTAAACTGGCATACTTCAAGTCTGCTAAACTGGAACAACTAATTTTGTGCTTAATGCACTTTAATTGTGAGGAAGTAGTGCTGAAGTCCAACTAAAGATATACTGAAGTATATTTGATTGTGCTATTGCAAGTAAACTTTAGGTGCACTTAAATTTCTTGCATTTAAAGACCCATATTATTCAAAGATCACACAATTCTCATCAGTAGTGGCATTAAAACACATTTTAGGCTTAATATTAAGAAATG